GTTCTAGTAATTTCCAAGAGCTCCACCATGGCAATACACCTCTTGCCTCAATGCACCTTTGGTGGAAGGTGCTCCACCCAAGTCTAAACTTGAGTAACATGGACCTCTTGTGCAGAAAAGAGTTCCCCCTTGCCAAATTCGTTGCTCCTTGCCTCCTTGGAACCTTGAACCTTGGACTTCTCTTGATATGCAAACCACATACCAAACCTTTGTTCACTAAATCCCCTCTTAGCACACCTTGCTCTTGGATTTAAGAACACATTTCTTTTCATCAATGCACTTCTCCAACTTTCCCGCTTCATGCTCCCTATAGCACTCCGAAAAGTGGTTGGAACTTCATGGTCCATCCATCCAAAACCTAGGGACGGTTTGATGGATTCCTTGGGCTTGGACCTTGCAATTGATGATGGCTCTACCTCAAGTAGAACCCCTTTGTGAGTTTGTTGTTGTTGCCCTCCTTCTTCAGCCCTTGTGTCAAGCTCCACCTCAAATGGAGTCCCTTCCATGACCACCTTGGCAAGAAGCTTCTCTTCAACAACATCCTCCCCATCATTCCTTGTCTTGATTTCACCTTTGTGGATATTTCTCTCCACACTTTCTGCAGCTTTGAAATCAAGCACCTTTGATGATGAACCGTTAGTCATACAACCTTGACTAACCTTCCTTGCCCAAAATCTCTTGAGCACACTTGCAGCTACATCATGTTGGACCGGCTCCTTGACATTAAGACTTGTTGCTTGCCCTCCTTCTTTGGTACAAATCTCTGCACCACCCAAGAGCTTGTATGTGTTGTTTGGTTGAATCTCCCCCATCATAACCACCACAGAACCTTGTGTGACCATGAGCTTCCCTCCTTTGGCCTTGTAAGAACACCCTTGTCTATCCAAAGAGCCAAGAGAGAGTAGATTCATTCTTAGTGTAGGTACAAACCTTACCTCACTAAGAGTCCAAACTTCACCACCTTGCAACTTGATCTTCACAGTCCCTATGCCCAAAACTTCACATGTAGTTTTGTCTCCCAACATAATCTTGCATGCATCCTTATCCTCATATGTGTCAAACATCAACTTATTTGCACACACATGATATGAGCACCCGGAATCTAAAATCCAACTTGAAGAAGAATCCTTACACGAAGAACTTGCCATGACTTCCCCGTTACTTTCATCCGTAACCGTCAAGAGTTCATCACATGTGTCCTCATCACACACGTGGGCTGAACTTCCAGCTTTCTTCATCTTGTTCAGCTTCTCCTTCCATACCGGACAATCTCGTCTCCAATGATCCATAGATCCACACTCGAAGCACCCTTCATTGTCCTTGGACTTAGTATTCCTTTTGCTGCCCTTGCCTTCTTGCTTGCTTGAACGACTC